CATAGAGCTATATGATTCAGAACACCTTCCTTTGACTGTTGCCAGAGTGAGGAAACTCCAGGATTTTTCTTAACAGTTTGCCTTTTCAGGGATTCAGCATATGTAACAGGTTGTAGATAATAGTAGTAAACTTTTCATATGGTAAATACTGCCAAATGATGTTACAAGTATTAAAAGAATTAAACATTTAAAATGTTTTTTTTAAAAAAACATAAAAGTTGAAAAAAGACGGGGACATTTATTTTGCATTTCAGCTACATTAGGTTACCAGACTATAATTCAGCAGTATTTTATGTAGGAACCTATTTCTTAATTTATATAATTTTAACACACTTGCTTTGGAAGAGGCAATATAGATTTTGGAGTTTTATGGCTGTTTTTAATTCTTGTTTCTCTCTTCCTTTGTAAAAATAAAATATGTACCCTAGGATGGACAGTATTTACATTTCTGATTCTCTGCTTGTGCAATTAATTTGGCCAAGTATTTGTTTCTCTCCTTTCAGTGTTTTTGTGTAATATATATGTGGATTGTATTTTCTTCTCCCTCTTCTGTCTTACCTAATAGACATTTCGTCAAGTTATGTAGTTTGAATCCATCATGTTGTGCATGTGAGTTCATATTGTTTGTAATAAAATGTGCAGTCAGTTATTCTAATAATTGATTACTGTGTTCTTACTCATTTCATACTAGAGAGGGATCTTAATATTACTTCATCAATGTCTGGGTCTACCACAGGGGTAGTGACAGACTATAAAGATTTGTGTCAATTAAGTGCATGTGCATTTTTATACCATACCTGTATGTTTAAGGACATGTGCTATTAAATATACTGTATAGCACAATTTCAGCTTGATTGCAATGCTTTTTATTTTCTGTCTGTAAGAAAAGGGAGAAAATTTTGCTAGAATTTAGTAGGTTAAGGTGGACTCACGTGAGAGCATTTGGCTAAATTGAGGAAATCCTGGATGTGACTATGATCGCATTATCACTGCCTATTATTATACATGTTTAGTCCTGTTGTTGATTATTGTCCCATTAAAAAAAGAATCATGCAAAACCTGTTCGGCCAGAAATAAGTAGAAGATTTATTGGAGATTTTGTTGTAATACCTTTAATTCTGTAAAAGAAACTATTGTAGTTTTCTTGAATTACTTTCCAAGGACCATAACCTGAGCTAATTTGAGATGTCCAAAGATTTGAACAAGCCCTTCCTATGATTGGACTGGAAATTATGTCATGAACTGTTTTTTAAAAGGGTATTGCTTCCAATATTGTTATTCAAACAGCTATCTAACATTTACAAGTTCAAACTGTCCCTGTGCATATTGCAATTATTTGGATTTCAAACATAGATTTGTAACATTGTGTGCTTCCACTATTTCTCCTAATATTGCTAATATTTTTCAAATCCTCTAACTCAGAGATCCCCAAACTTTCTGGGTTGGCAGCCCAGAGGGAAAGGGAGGGGGAGGTGTACTTATGCGCTCATGCAAATGGGGCCGAGCGTACCCATGCAAAGGTGGCAGGGATGCTAGCGCTAGTGCGACTGGGGGTGAGTGTGTGTGTACACATGAGCGCATTGGTCAGCCACTCACATGGCCCAGTGGCCAATAGTTTGAGGACCCCTGCTTTAAGTAGAATATGCAATAACATATCGTGCTGAAAAGTGTGTCATGTAATTTTCATAATTTTCAAGCAAATAAAGTCTGTAGCCTTTTCTCTTTGAAATGGCTGCTTTGGTAACCTGCAGAACTTAACCAAATGTTAATAAAAATCTTGCATTATACTAGGTTTATACTTAGGTTGTTCATATTTTAAAAACTTGTTTGATATATATATATATATATATATATATGTAGGTCTTTGGTTTTTCGGGTTTTCTCCCGCGTAAAATTGGAAGTGTCTTGGCGACGTTTCGACGAAGTCCCATTCGTCATCTTCAGGCTGGTGTTTTCAGCTTCGTGCTTCGAGCAGCAATGTGTGGTCTTAGCTGTTTCTTCCTTTTAACTGCCAGTGGGGGTATGAACTGATTGGGTGGGAGCTTGGCTGTGTTCTGATTGGGTGGAGGTGTGTTCTGATTGGTTAGGGGCGTGGCTGTGCTCTGATTGGCTGGGGGGTTGGCTGTGCTCTGATTGGCTGGGGGAGTGTTCTGTTTGGTTGTGCTCAGGTTAGTCTGAGTTGCAGAGGGGTTTAAGATTTTGGGCTGCCTTGCTATTTTTTGGCTTCGTGTTCGTGGTCGTGCCTCTCTTCATGGAGGGTGTCAGTTTGCTTCATGTATGGATTGGAGGGGTTTAAAGTGGCTAATGATGCAGCTGTGGTCTGGCTTCTGGTTTGTGGTCGTGCCTCATCATCGGTGTGGCTTTGGGTTTGTTTTTTGCGTGGATGTGTGGTGGTGACATCCTGTGTGGTTTTTGTGAGTGTGGGTCTGGTATCATTTTTTGTGTTAGGGAGTCGTTTGTCAATAAGGGCGGGTTTCCAAATGGCTGGTAGGCGGGAGGTATCATCTCGCTTGTTCATGCTGTGTGGGCGTTTTTCTATCTCGATGGCTTCTCTGATTATTCTGTTATTAAAATGTTCACTTTTGGCAATGGTTCTGGTATTTTTAAAGTCAATTTCATGTCCTGTGGCTTTAAGGTGTTGGACCAGGGAAGATGTTGGTTCCTCTTTTTTGACTGAGTTCTTATGTTCTTCAATGCGTGCACTTATTCTTCTGTTGGTTTGTCCGATGTATGTGGTGGGACAAGTGGTGCATGGGATTTCGTATACTCCTTGATTTTCTAATTCAATTTTATCTTTGGGGTTTCTAAGGATGGTGGATATTTTTCTGTTTGTGCAGAATGCTGTTTTGATGTTGTGTTTATGGAGGATCTTACTGATTCTGTCTGTGGTGCCTTTTATGTATGGGAGGAGGGCTTTGCCGTTTTCTTGTTCTTTGTCTTGGATTTTAGTGGGGGTTTCTTTTTGGATTAGGTTTGTAATCTTATTTCTATGGAATCCATTGGATGTTAGTACATTGGTGAGAGTGTGTAGTTCAGTTTTTAGGTGTTGTTCGTCTTCCCTGGTCCAACACCTTAAAGCCACAGGACATGAAATTGACTTTAAAAATACCAGAACCATTGCCAAAAGTGAACATTTTAATAACAGAATAATCAGAGAAGCCATCGATATAGAAAAACGCCCACACAGCATGAACAAGCGAGATGATACCTCCCGCCTACCAGCCATTTGGAAACCCGCCCTTATTGACAAACGACTCCCTAACACAAAAAATGATACCAGACCCACACTCACAAAAACCACACAGGATGTCACCACCACACATCCACGCAAAAAACAAACCCAAAGCCACACCGATGACGAGGCACGACCACAAACCAGAAGCCAGACCACAGCTGCATCATTAGCCACTTTAAACCCCTCCAATCCATACATGAAGCAAACTGACACCCTCCATGAAGAGGAGGCACGACCACGAACGCGAAGCCAAAAAATAGCAAGGCAGCCCAAAATCTTAAACCCCTCTGCAACTCAGACTAACCTGAGCACAACCAAACAGAACACTCCCCCAGCCAATCAATCAGAGCACAGCCAAGCCCCTAACCAATCAGAACCACAGCCAAGCTCCCACCCAATCAGTTCATACCCCCACTGGCAGTTAAAAGGAAGAAACAGCTAAGACCACACATTGCTGCTCGAGGCACGAAGCTGAAAGCACCAGCCTGAAGATGACGAATGGGACTTCGTCGAAACGTCGCCAAGACACTTCCAATTTTACGTGGGAGAAAACCCGAACAACCAAAGACCTACATATATATATATATATATATATATATATATATATATATATATTTAAAAGTTTCCTTTTAAAAAACCAATGACAATTTTTTTATATATGTTTCCTTTCATTGTGACAGCTTCTTACATTTTAACATAAGTATGATGTTGCTTATTGTCCTTTTGCATTAGTATTTACTTAAAAGTTAGCCATTGACGCAATCAAGTTCCAGAGCACTACAGCAAGAACAATAGTTTAGTCTTTTATAAAAATATAGTCCAGAAAACTGACAATAAAAAGGATGAATTTGACAATGGTGGGTTGTGTTTAAGTACAACTGTCTCTTATCTTGATGAAACTATGACGTGAGAATGTGCAACTTTTATCTAGCAATCTAGATAAATCTAGTAAGAATGACTTTGTTCATTATAATTTTATGTAGTAAAAGTACCAGCTCTTAGATAACATAAGCAGCTTTGCTTTAAATTAGTAAAGATAATACTGATGTTAATTATGCAAATGAGGTGAAACATGGCTCATATTCCATGGCTAATTTGTGCTTTAAGGTCATTCACAGAATTACTTTTCCCTGTTATTTTTCTGTATCGGGTCTATTTATGGCCTAATGGGATTAAAGTTGGTACTAACCTTTCTTTTCACAGACTCTCTGCTTTGGAAAATCTCATTTGAAATAAATATGCAAAATTGACACTGAATAAGAGCGTGTCTGGAATTTTAAATAGATTACAGGTTAAATGTGTCTATATTTACAGGAATATATTAGCGTCATTATACACATTATGTAAGAAAGGAAATGTGGATATCTGGCAATTGGCCATCCACTGTATACCATTCTACAGAAAGATTTACATATTTATTTTTATTTTTATTAATCTAAGTTATATAACCACCCATTTCATGAGAAGTGAGCAATTAAATATGCTCCCTCTCAGTGTACCAACCAATGCACATTGCTCTTCTCCTTATGTGATTATATTTAGTAGCAAAAGAATACCCAGTGAAGACTATGGTTCCAATTGACTTAACGTATTTAACATTCTTGAGAATTTATGTTCTTGTGCCATAACCTTATATTACAACAATATATTTTTATGTTTTGTATCTACATCTATCTATCTATCTATCTATCTATCTATCTATCTATCTATCTATCTATCTATCTATCTATCTATCTATCTATCTATCTATCTTTTAAATTTGCAGTAAGTGACAGCAGTGATTCTGAATCTGACCATACCATGGTGCTGAATTTCAAATCCCAAGCGGGAAAAATTTTGAGAGATCAAAGACTTCATCAGCAACAATGCAGAATTGAATGGAAGAATGAAACAGACAAAGACAATGGTGGTATAGCGAGCTACCCTCAAGGAACAACAAGAGGCTTCCGGCAACCACTGTTGCCAAGGCCAGCATTTGGCACAGTGAATGAAGAATCAGCTGAAGATGACAGATCAGTCAAGCCCCTGCCACCACCTCGATTAGCCCGACAGGCATCAAAAGCTGAAAGGCCAAGAGATAAATCTGAGAATAACCATAGCAATAATTACTAAACAGATGCTAACACTCAACAGTACATATAGTAGACTAGCATGATGTAAATGGCAGTAGGGCAATTGGATTCATTCAAAACTTGGCCATAGACTCGTGGGGGATGGGTAGGAAGGAAAGAAAATCTAAACAGAAATCAAGTAGGAAGAAATTCTTAGCTGCTCTGGGACCAAATAATGTAAATTATACAATGAAGATAACTTTGATCAATTATATATTGTATGCCTGACATGTGATTACTTTTCTTCAAGGGAAAGGCTACCATATCTGAACTGTAGAAATCCAGACCATCACTAGAGGGTAGCCCTAAACAAAGCCACATTTTAATTAGGAATTGCACTAAAATTTTCTTGTCCTATTAAAAGATATCCAATGTGCCAACGCACAGTTAGTAGCTACTTTAAAAAAGATTCTGTAAGAACAAACAGGATTATCTTGATTTGGAGATACAATCCTGTACATGTACTCTGTAGGTTCAAAGGAGCTTACTTTTAGCTAAACAGGAATAAATTTTGCACATTATTAAAACTGCATTGAACCACAAAGCCAACTATAGCAGTTGTCAACTATTTTCTTGGTAATCTTTCACTCCTTACATTCACTCCTCTGCTTTGTTATTTCTTATGAATCACATATCTGTGCACGGATATTCATAGGAGGTTATATGAAGGCTCCGTCCCTATTGTATGTTCATATGCAACATGACCTGTACAAATGGGGTAGAGGACGTGGATCACAATAGCACAATGCTGCTTTCATCATTCTGCTCCTCTTGCCCCCACCAGATATATTCAGAAGGTATAATCCTCAGTAAACCATTGTGTACTGTTTCTGTCTATATTGTTTGTTAATAATAATGCATAGATTATTCTGTTCATCAACTCAGGTCCAAATTCTAATATTCTGTAGAAATGTAAATAAGACAACTTTTTTCCCAATCATCATGCTTTTACTACATTAAGTTAATGGTCTTAAAGTTTGTTTATTTATTTAAACATATTGAAGTTATTTTAAAATTACATGTATCCCTAGATAAAGATTTTTTTTAAAAAAAGCAGCAATATAATTAAAAAAATCTTTGCTTTAAGACAAACAGGAGTGACTTTAAAAGCCCTGCTGCAATGCTCTCTTAAAATGCACAATAAGTAATGATCTCTTTTCTTTGAAAAGTTTGCCATTTAAAGAAAAAAAATAAAATGCATTTATCGTATATACTTACATACATTTATTTAGTCACAAATCAGAAGTGTTTTTTCTGAACAGTTATTGGTCTTGATAATGTGCTCTTCTTGATAGTACGCTAGAAATATAGACTTAAATTAATCAGAATTTGCTATACAAATGAAATTGTCCTACGGATAGTAAAAAAAAAATGCAATGGGGCTTCAAAATATGAGATGGTGATAAATTATACTTTTGACTTAGGTGGCCCAAGCACAATAATAATATTGTGGTATGTTGTTGTTTGATGCTGTTGCTTTGCGCTGAAATTCAGTTCAACATTAAATGGCTGAAAAAAAGTCTTTAGTGCCATCTATTGGTAAATTCACAAATAACTTTCTTTGGTCTTTTAGAATAGAAAACTATGCTCTTGTTCAATATAAATTACATTGTTTTAAATATATCAGCACTGGAGAAGAATCTGATAACATTTTGACAACATAAAAGTTACTTGGACTTTTGGATGGACATAGATAAGATGTGATGGTAACAAATGTTCTTTATCAATATATATTAGGAAACAGGTTAAAATAACATTTCTAGAATTACCAAACTGACAATGTGAGAATATTCAAACCTAATTAGTTTCTTCAATTTGGTACAATATTAACACTTTGACATTTCAACCAGTATATGGTTAAGTAGCACATTACACAGGAACACAGCATCCTTCAACCCTGTTGAAATTGCAATTAAAGCCATTCTAGAATGATTTGGAATTTCGGTGTACTGTACATCAAGACAGTATACTTTAAGCCATCTTTCCTGCTCCTGTAATTTTAATTCATATTTGCATTGCAGGCTGTCATTGTCATATGACAATATTTGCTCATTATAACCATTTTCACTGCCGTACAGGTCTCATATTATTTTGCCCATATCTATAATTTTCATGTTTTATGGTCATTTGTAGTGCTGCAAGAAATAATTACTACAATCCTTGCTGATTGATGCAATTTAAGGAAAATTTGGGGTGCTAGAAAATAAATCAGTAATAGGAATTAAGGTTGATATAATTTTCATGGTTAAACAATAACCAAACTGGATGACCAATTCTGCACAGATCAGCTATTGATACTTACTTTATAAAAGGTTATTCCATTCTTTAGAAATGTACCTGGAATGGGACAAATTAATTCTCCCACTCCAGTTCAGATAGGAATGACTGACCACAAAGCATTGTGAAAGTTCATAAAAGTCAATTCTATTAATAGCAGTGACATCAGTTATCCCCATACTTGAAATGACTCCATTGAATATGAAACGTAAACAGAAATATCCTTTTCCTATTTATATATTTGCAAGTATGGACCCTGATAATGAAAAACTTGTACACTGAAATTATTTTTCTACATTCAGATGAAGCCCAAGTTCCTGAACACCTTTTTCTGTATTCTTTGTAGAAAAGCTATAGTAGTAGTAGTAGTAGTAGTAATAAAAAGTTGAAGCCTTAAAAGGTAAATTTCCTGTTGGTGCTCATGTCTGCCCTTCCTATTTCTCTCCATCAAGATAAAAATTTGGGGATGTTGTAAGATACAGAGTTTTGTGGTAGCATGTTTCACAGGTAACTATGAAATTAGTTTTATAGAGGAAAAAGTATTGTGTGTGAATATTTGTAAGAATTCATGGAACAGAAAATGTCATGGAACAGAAAATGTCATTATCACTGAATGTAATCTTCATTGACCACTAAAAGAAGTATTTTTATTGCATTTCATTATATTTATTTGTATCCTGCCTTTATTATTTTTAGAAAGAACTCAAGGCAGTGAACATATTGGATACATCTTCCTCCTCCTATTTTCCCTACAACAATAACCTGATGAAAGAAGTGACTAAGTCAGTTGACTTTCAAGGCTAGGGCAGAACTAGAATTCACAGTCTCCTGCTTTCTAGCCTGGTGCCTTAACCAGTAGACCAACTATTTCCAAAATTTCAATTGCAGTGCACATGCAAGCAGTGCATACATACACCCTTCAACATTCCAATGAAAACATCAACACATTCACTATGCCTCTCCTATCTTTCTATTGCTGCAAACCATTCTTATTTTTATCACAATCATATGCTGTTTTGTATATTGCCATTTTTTAACTCTTTTTGTGAGGCTGCCATTAGCTCAACCAAATTATAACTTTATCAGACTTTGCTTCCTTCTTGATCATTCACTTTTCTTTCCCAGTTTTTTCAGCTGTCGGCTATTATGACCAAATCATCTCAAAGTATTTCATCCATAGTGATCTTACTAGTCATTTATGCACTGCTAATTGTATCCTGTTTTACCACATGCAATTCTTAGCATCCCATTTCTACTGCATGCTACTTACTCTGATATTTAATACGTAGATAATTCTCATTCTCATATAAGTGTTTTTGTTTAACAAACATTTTTTTCTTCACAAGAGACCACATACTACTTACTACCTTTCTAGCAGCATTAGCACATACTAAAATTTTTCTATCCGTTTTCCTGTTTTCATAAATATTTCATCAAGGCATATAGATTTACTAATTTTAGTTTTCATCATTTATTTATAACTTGCTATTCACTCAACTTTCCTGATCAAGCACTGCTACCATGGTACCCAATACCTTATTTTTCAGCTCAGTACTCCAGATTGCATCATAATCTAACAATTGCTACAAATCATTTGTGTCCTCAATTAACATATTATTAGCATATAAAAGTACATGCACACTGACATTTCCAACAAACACAATTCTATCAACTCAAACATATATTATATATTTGTCCATAAGTGTATCAGGTGATTAAGAAGACATTACGCATCCTTGAATTACTCCATTTTCAATGTTGAACCATTAATTAAGCATTCAATTTATCCCCATGCAAGCTTTTCTATGATACACCACTCACATTGCATTCAGCTTTTTCATGCCTAAGGTGGGACTAGTACTCACAGTCTCCTGATTTCTAGCCTTGCCCCTTAACCACTACACCAAAGTGGCTGTATTTTAAGTTTTAAAATAGAATTTTAAAGTTCTGTTTTAAAATAGAAGTATTTTAAAATTTTGAAAATTAAAATGTTAAAAATAAAGTTTACTTTTACTATTTTTTTCATTGTAGGGCAGTGCTGGCGAACCTTTTAGAGACCAAGTGCCCAAACTGCAACCCAATACCTACTTATGTATCGCCGGGTGCCGGGTAGGCGTGGCCCATTGGGTGGGTGTGGCCCATTGGGTGGGCGTGGCTTTGGTGGTAACGGCAGACTGGGTAGGACTAAAAAGTTCAATCAATCAATTCCAACTTTGCGAGATCTTTTTTTTTTTCCTTCAAGAAGTTGAAATTGATTGAATGGCAGCGGAGACCTAAAGCAAAAAGGTTTTATAAAACCCAGCTGAAGGCCTAGGACTGGGGCGATGGTGCACGTGCCCACAGAGAGGGCTCTGTGTGCCACCTGTGGCACATGTGCCATAGATTCGCCAACACAGGCCTAGGGCAACAATAAGCATTCTTCCCATTGTTATTTATATATGCTATCTTTACCAATACGTTAAGTGAACTCTATAGCCACTCCATAAGCAAAATACATCTCTATTCTAACCTTTTCCTGTTACACTATTTACACCTCAGCCTTACCCATTCTTTAACCCCCACAATATTCACAACACTGTAAAGATACTGGTTGTCACTTTTAAAATTCTATATGGCATCAGGCCACATTACCTAGCCCCAATGGCTCTGTCCATGAGATTTAGAAGAATGGGCATGCTGCCAGTCCCATTGATGAAGCAGTATTTCCTGATGGGCTCCAGGAAGCTGCCAATAATGAGGATGGTACTGGCTAATTTTAGCACATTTGAATAGTATGCCATAAACACAATTGCTTATTTTTATTTGAGCATATTCATGCTATTCTATGCAAACATCTAGTTCTCCAATCTAGAGGCAATATTATAAGCCAACATACTGTTGTCTACATCCCAAACCCTCAAAGATACAATATATTGAAACAAAGTGAGAACAGGACAGTAATATAGCCTGCTAGAATAAAACTTCTTCAAAATGTTTAGTCAAGACAGTAAAACGTTTGCTGCTTTATTTCAAGAGCAATATAGTGTTTTGTTTGATGAAAATAATATAATCCTCTTGAAATGGGAATGCAACATATACTAAACAACGAATATATATATATCACATGGGACAGCAACTGAACAAATGACATTTAGATCATCTTGGTTTACTTTTTCTTTTTATTTTCTATTACCAATATTGAAGTGCAATTTTGAAACCATCAATTCAAAACCATCTCAAATAGTACCACAGCACAAAATCCCTGAGTACAACTTGTTAGAGGCTTTCAAGTACTCCAAAAGTATGTTGAATATTTTTCAAACACCTTTGTTATATAACATTAAGTAACCAACTCAAGATTTCTGGATTGAATTTCACAAGAAAGTTTGTTGAGTATTATTTGGGTTATGAGCAAATTAACTTTGACATTGGATGTAGAGTTTACTGAAATTCTGGGAATAGAAGTCTACAAATTTTAAAATGTGAAAAACACAGAGTTGAAGTGTTCAATACAAAAGTTGAAAAACATTAATAAGAGTAAGGCTGATAGAAATAATCAGAATTTCATGGTAAGAACATAATGTATATTTCCTTCTTTCTTATTTTCTTTTAATCAGCTAGATAGATCTACAAATACTGTTAATAAATATTTGAATGTGGAATCAATTCTCTTTAGAAACATTTCCTTTTGCAAAATCATATTCCTCTCCTCCAAATATTAAAACAGAGTTGTATTATTCTGACCTATCACACTGGATGAAAGCTGTGCCTTTCTCCAGCATGTAGAGGAATGTAGACTCCACGCATGGGTTGATTTAGTCTTCTAGCCCAATCAGACCAAACAATCAAAGTTGCCACGCCTCTGCAGGGTCTGACCATGCCCCAGTTTTCGTTTGGTCTCAGCCCTGAAGACACATGAGAATTTGGCTCCTAATTTAGATTCAGAAAGGTAGTTATTGCCATTCGTGGTTTCTCTATCCTTTTTTTCCTTCTTGTGTGGGGGGGGGATTGGTTCAGCTCTGAGCTCAGTGCTGCACCATTTCTTCTCTCTTAATCAATCCCTTCTCCGTGAGTTTTCAGAGGCAGACAGCTGATCGTAGATTGCTGCCTCATTACAATCCACCTCCCCCACCTCCTCCCAAGATCTTCACTGTGAATGCGAAGCTAAACTACTAATTTTCAGCTGAAAACTGAAATCACCTTCTTAGGTTAGTTACCAATTCAAACAATCTGCGGGCACCATTTTGAGCCTCTAGAAGGCTC